TATTGAAAACAGGTTGTTCGGTTGATCATGTAAAAGTCGTTTTCGATTGAAAGATTCGAACTTTGAAGCAAATGATATGGCCGATATTCCGTTGCCATTCTCAAATCCTTCGCTAATGGGAGTTCCTCAGAACAAGATTCCATCGATTAAATCTGCAAACTTTTCTCAAATCCCTTCGTGGGTCTCTCTAAAGACTAGCCCCAGTTCATTGAAAATCCCTCAAAGCCAACAAGGGCAGGTTGAGAATGTATATTTGGTTTCTTTATCGAGACAGGGGAAGCTCAAAGAAGCTCGTGATTTCCTGAAAGAAATGGATCGAGCAGGTGTTTCTGTTAGCCCCAATTCATATGAGTGTCTGTTGGAAACCTGTAGAGAAATAGGCTCATTATCGGATGGAAGATTGATACATGATCGGTTGCGGAGAATGATGACGATCCCACCTTTGTTTTTGGTGAATTGTGTTCTGCAGATGTACTGCGATTGTGGTGGTTTCCGGGATGCAGAGATACTGTTTGATGGAATGCGTGAAAGAAATCTGACATCTTGGTCTATACTTATTTCTGCTTATGCGCAGATGGGAAATTTGGAGAAAGCGTTTTGGTTTTTCTCACAAATGCTTGAGTCAGAAATCAGGCTGAATTCGTCCGTCTACGCCCGCCTCTTGAAGTATTTGACTCATCCTTCTCTTTTGGAGATTGGTAAACAGATGCATTCACTCATTTTAAGGACGGAGTTAGGCAATAGTGTTTCTGTTAATACAGCAATATCGAATATGTATGTGAAGTGTGGGTGGCTGGAGGGTGCTCAGCTTCTTTTTGATAGGATGTCTGAAAAGAATGCTGTAGCTTGGACGGGGTTGTTAATGGGACACGTGCATGCTGGAAAACGGAAAGGTGCTTTGGAGCTGTTTGCTAATATGGTAAGAGAGAGTGTTGAATTGGATGAGTTTGTTTTCTCGATTGTTCTCAAGGCTTGTGCTGGCTTGAAGGACTTGAATTCAGGGAGGCAAATTCATGGTTACATTGTTAAACTTGGATTGGAACCTGAGGTTTCTGTGGGAACTCCTCTTGTAGACTTATATGTCAAATGTGGGAGTTTTGAATCTGCTTGTCAAGCATTCAAGAGAATAAGTGATCCTAATGAAGCTTCATGGAGTGCCATGATCTCTGGCTATTGTCAAATGGGTAAATTTGAGAAATCTATTAAGATTTTTAGATCATTAAGGAACAAAAATGGAGTTTTAAATTCATTTGTGTATACCAGTATTTTTCAAGCATGTTCTGCACTTGCCGACTATAATATGGGTGCCCAAGCTCATGCAGATGCCATAAAAAGAGGCCTAGTTTCATATCTATGTGGGGAGAGTGCAATGATTACTATGTATTCAAAATGTGGCAGATTAGATTATGCAAATCGTGCCTTTGAATCAATAGAGAAGCCTGATACTGTGGCTTGGACTGCCATTATATCTGGTCATGCTTATCATGGAAATGCTTCTGAAGCTCTAAGGCTTTTCAGGAAGATGCAGGACTCTGGTTTAAGGCCAAATGCAGTTACATTTGTGGCAGTATTAACTGCTTGTAGTCATTCAGGTTTGGTTGCAGATGCTAAGCAGTATTTTGAGTTGATAAGTAAGCATTATGGTCTGGAACCAACTATTGATCATTATGACTGCATGATTGATGTATACTCCCGTGCTGGGCTACTGCAAGAAGCATTTGAAGTGATAAAGAATATGCCCTTCAATCCCAGTGTTATGAGTTGGAAATGCCTAATGAGTGGATGTTGGATCCATAAGAATCTCGAGCTGGGAACAATGGCAGCTGAAAACCTTCTGCAGCTGGATCCAGATGATACTGCAGGTTATATTCTCATGTTTAACCTATATGCTTCCTATGGAAAATGGGAGGAGGCAGCTCGTGTGAGAAGTATGATGACTACAAGAAAGTTGAAGAAGGAACTCAGCTGTAGTTGGATTACTGTCAAGGGCAATGTGCATCGGTTCATAGTTGGTGATAAACACCATCCTCAGACAGAGGAGATCTACTCAAAGTTAAAGGAGTTAAATTCTTCTGTAGCGAATAGGGAAAACGACCTCCTAACTGAAGAAGGTGTAACATGTACCCTTCCAGAGCGAGAACAACAGCTTCTGGACCATAGTGAAAGACTTGCCATGGCATTTGGGCTCTTATCTACACCAAATAATTCTCCCATCGTAATTTTCAAGAATCTAAGGACCTGCAAACACTGCCATGAATTTGCAAAACGAGTATCCATGGTCACAGGGCGTGAACTCATTATTCGAGATTCCTTAAGATTTCATCACTTCCAGTCAGGGCAATGCTCTTGCAATGATTATTGGTGATTCCCAGTTTCCCACAAATTCTTGCAGTTATTCTTTGAGGTATTCATTGGCATTCTCTCTTCTTAGTTCTTGCATCCCTGTGCATCATCATGTCAAGGAAAATAATTTGGGCTGACCTCAGGCAATAGTTCGTCCACATTGGCTTGAAGCTTATGTTGTTCATAAAATTGATTAGACCACATGGCGCCACCAGGTTACTTGTGTCCTCAATAACTGACATTTGTCAGAACTAGAAACACAAAAATCATGTGGTTGAATTTCATTACTTTGGTTAATAGTAATATACTCCAAACTTTTTGTCCGGTCGTTTAGCAGTCTTTCTTATCTAATAGCAACCACGTGAAAGGCGATGGCTTATACAGAAAAGACCCTCCCTGGTACCTGCAGAGGCCGTGGGACTGGACATGAAATCCGTATGATATACCAATGGTGGCCTGCCATGGCCGATGAATTGTATGATTGATTAGTGGTTGCTGGTGATGGCAGCCATTTTCTAGTAGTGGAGGTAAAGTACAGGTGTCTGAAGTGGGAAGCACAAACCTTAATGAGGCAACACGTGGGAGTGTGTCAGGGTTGAGAGTCCGCAGAATGGATGATGAATTGATGTTTTATGATTGTTGCACAAAAGGAGACTCTTAAGGGGTCCATGCCACTGATAACCAGCATTTCCATCTCTTTCACCATGGATAGGAATCTTTGCCTCCACTTCCTTTGGCAAGTGCGCACTTTATCTATTAGAATAGGAAATTATTAGCAATAATGCCAGTATTTCATTTTTCTTTTCTTTTTTCCATTTGTGTTTTGCTATCATCTAGGTCAGTGAAATGTTGGCGTGACATATAAATAGGGCCTCCGTAACCCTCTGACGCCTAATAATTTTTCAAGTTGAGGCACAGCCATCCTTAGAAGAAGTTAAATTCAAATTATTAATAGTAACTGTTTATGATCAATTTCTTCTTAATGTGAAATCTGGTAGCGTCACAATTTTCAAGTTCTATGTATAGGTAGATCCACAATCACTACGGATCCGTTCCAACCCAATATGAGATTTGGGGTGTTTGAGAACTCTAAGCTCAACTCCAGGACCTTGATGAATACTTACCAGACCAAGAGCGATAACTACTCTCGGGCAAGTTGTCCAATTCATAGGGCTGCTTTTATGTGTGTGTGTATATATATATATATATTGCCATATGGGTGTAAGTGGTGTGGTGTCCCAAGGGGAGAGAAGATATCAAATTCATCTCTTGAAGATATGACATGTGCATGTTATCAAAATTTTCCCCTTGTTTCCCCTCAATTTCCCTCTCTACCAATTTGTTTAGATTTGAGACTCACAATCCCTCTTTTAGCATTTAGCATGGCAATCAACCCATTTAAATTGTAATTTTATCATATTCCCTTATCATACTTAAGTGGTTCAATTATAATTTTTTTTTATTTTAAGTAAAAGATATTGAATTTCAAATGTATGACATGCATATATATATAGATAAAAAATATAAAATAAAATTACTCTTCATTATACAATCTTAAACTGACAATGACTCAAGCCTAACTATATAAAATTCTAAATCTAGTCTCACCATAGAAACCTTACTTCCAACACTAAGCTAAAGTTTGCAACATAACAGATTACGTATAAGTGAAAAAGAAAGGAACAAAGGAGAGAAATAGATATGGATAAAATCAACATTCATGATGTCACAGTCAACAAATTGAAAGGCGAATGAAATTCCCATCTTACGAATGACCTATGTGTAGTGGGAGCGCAGGACAGTGTCATTGGAACATTGAATTATTGATGCTTGTAATAGTCAGATTTCACTACAATTAGAAATTATTGGAACATAAAGGGATTTGCACCTTTGTTGCGAATATTTTAGTTGATATTTTCACAATATTTTTAGTTCATATTTTGACAAGATAATAGCAGTGTATATCACACAATTTACATAAAACTAATTGTTGATTGCATATTTATAATCATTTATGAGCAATGAATTTCTTAATATTAGAGTGATATCACTCTATTAATAACTATAAAATATGCAGTCAATGTAGTGTAATTGATAAAAATTGCAAAACCTTTCTTAAGTTTTTGAGTCTTATAATTTCTAAGTTGTTGAGTTGAAGACGATATTTACCATTTTTGAGCAGGAGGTGTAGTTATTATCACCATAAATATTATCTTTTTTAACTTAAAATGTTATTATGAATATGGTTAGCACTATCAAAATTTTAGTTTTTTTCTTAAATAATATTTGAAAATATAATTTGTTAACTCGACTTTAATTTATTAATTAATAAATATCAATTGTTTTATAATTATTAATTATTTTTATTAATTAAATTAAACAACATTAATATTTAAAAAAAATAATATTTTACAATTATAATAACCACAAAAATCAATAGTACCGGAAGAGATTAACGTATAAATGATGTAATTTAGTGACATGATATTTACTAAAATGATTTGAATTATTTTTTACTGAATTATAAAAACTATAAGTCTAAAAACCTAAACACCTCTTTTGAAATACTTTCAACAACATTGGTAGACAGAAAATTTGTTGCAGCAACAAAAACTAACATTATTTTAGGTAGTCCTACTCACAACCACCCTTTTCAAATATGGGAGACTCAAGGATTGAAAATTTAAATAAGCATGTAAAAAAGTATGGTAGGTCTTCCAGAGTGTTGGCGAATCAGATCAGCTCAGCTTTATGGGATATTACCCAGATTGAATGGACGGCAGAGAAGCGAAAAGGGCAACGAATCCTCAAAAAACTACTAAAGAAACAGTTAAAGAAATAATAAAGAAATGCTAGTAGTAGGAAAAGAAACAGTAGGTGATTTTTTTGTTTTCTCTTTAATAATGGGTATAGAGAAGAGAGTAGTGGTTGGGTTGTGTCGTGGTATTGGTCTTTATTTTCAGTTGGCGCCAAACTGGATTGAACCAAGAAATGGGCAGGTAAAGTCTATCCACATCTCTCACTCGCTGTGCCGCCTGCTGCTTATATTCTAACTCACCAGGTGTCGGTTGTTGTCCACATAAATTCACTCTTACCTCTTCATTTCCACTCATTTTCACACAATTTCTGCTGAACTCTCTTTCTGGGTGCCTGCAAAAAGTTTCATTTCCTTCCCAAAACGTCTGTAAGCTTCAATCTCTTCTTTTTCATTTCTTTTACTGCTTAGTCTTGTTCATGACAGTGGGATTAGTTGCTGTCTTTCTTTTGTTTCTTTTTGTCGGTTAGATAAGATGGGGTTTGTTAATTTGTGTGTTTTCTCTGGTGCAGGCATACGATTTGGTTCTGGTTTGATGTGGGTTGTGGGTTTTGGGTTTTGCTACTTATGGGGTTTGTTGCTGAATTCTATATCTGGAAGTTTAGTTTATCAGAGTAAAAAAGAATCTGAAGCTAAATGTTATATTGGAGATGATCTGGAGAAATACCCGCCGCCTCAATGGGGTGCTCCATTTTTTATTCACTTAACATCCACAAGTTTTGTTCATTGGTTCTTATTTAATCCCAAGTAGGAAAAAATGAATCTTCTTTTGCAATACTTGAGTTTGCATTGATCCTTGTTTTTCTAAATCTTGGCATTTTCCCTGAGGATTTAAGTTTATAGGTTTGGCTAGGACTCAAGAACATCTATATTGATAGATATGCAACAGTTTTTGTTTTCTTCAGGAAAAGGGAAAACGGAACAAATACTTATTCTCAAATTTTCCAAACTGTATTTAATTGCATCAATGTTCGCTATGTGCATTAAAACTTGTGTATTGGGAGCTTTCTCTGAGTGCAAAGTACGCACATGGGGCAGCTCAGGCTGCATCGATATGTTGATATCTTAGAATCTATTCTTCCTTCAAATGAAAAGGATTTTAATTTGGTTTTGGTTTTTATAGGTAGTTTGTGGATTGAGTTTAGAGCATTTTTGTCATCTGTTTTACTTCAAGGACTTGCTTGTCTTAAGCTGAACTGAAGTTCATGGGTGTCAGAGATGCAAATTGTTTAATGGGCTATGGCCAGCCACCATGGATATTCAAAGGCAGGCAAGTCTCAGACCTTGTTGTGTTTTGTATTCAGTTGTTTGTTTATCCATCTGTAGTATGTCCAGTGTTATTGGTTCTTTTTTCTTTCAGTGCCTTGTACCAACTACATCTTGTAAAAGCTGAAACTGCTCGAGCATTCATTCCTAAGGAGCTCAAATTAGTTGAAGCTTTTGGGTATGTATATTTATTTACCTTTTAGAGTTGATTTTGTGAGTTTGATACTTTCTATTCACTAAATTGTCTTAAGTATGCTCGTTGCAGATACACTCTAGGTGGTTTTTTCCTTGCTAAATACGAGGACAGTCCAGTTGGGGTCTTTGATGAGGTTTGTGCATTCCTGTTTTGCTTTACTGATTGGGAAGCTGTTGAATCAGCATCGATAATATATTGGGCTAACTAAAGTTGTCACTAGCCTAATCATCTGTCTCTTTTGCCAGCTTGTGGTGATAGCAGGACTTGTTTGGGATCCTCCCACGTCTTGTGCGTATGTTTTCCATCCCCTATCTTCTTGTATTGTTTAATAGTAAACAATTGTGGTATGAGGAAATTGCACTCTTCCAAAGTCAGGCCACTACTCAGAATTTCTGAGTTTTCATGTATCAATTCAGTGAAGGTGGCTTGAGATAGGAAAAGTGACTAACTTATACAAATTAGCTGGATACTGGATATTCTTGAAAAACTTCGGGAGCCATATGTAGGGTCCGTTCAACCTTACAACTTGCATGATGACATATATACACATACATATAAACTTACAACTTGCATTATATTACTGTTTATTAAATTATAGTACCAATCCTATTACTATTTTGTTAAAATACACCGCCAATTGAATCGTACTTTTAACATAAATTCACATTCCCTATGGTGTTTAGTATCTCAGCCACGTTGTTACCATAAAAAACTAAGTATGTCACCCAAGTGGCCAGAACTGCTGGTCAAGTTGCCATTGTCTGACATGTCAGATTAATGCATCAAGAATTATAATTTAAGTCCCTCTGAAGCAATTGAGTTTCCATTTGGTGCGCTAAATGCTCTATTCATATTTAAGCAACTTGCTTTCAATGACATCAACTATTTATACGGTAAGGTTAAAGCCCACCTAAATCATAATTTCCATTTGGTGGGCCTAAATGCTTTGTTATTGTTCAATATTTGACAATCTGAGCAACTTGCTTTTAATATCATCAACTATCTATGGAAAAGTAAAAATTGTTTTACAACTATTCTTGTTCATATTATTTCTTTTACTTGTATTTCTTTTCATCCTGGTTCTCGTTCAACTAGTTGTTATTGTGTTTTCCAACAGCTGGGCCGCCAGGGTTCTTGTGAACAGTAAAGAAGCTTGTGGTCATGGAAGAAAGGTGAGAAGTTTGTGGCACTTCTTGTAGTTTCATTTGTTAGATATTTGAACAAAATGTTTGGCAACCATGCAAATGAATCTGGCCAGTTTAGTCCAAGATCGGCCACTTAATAATATCCCAGGTGAACTTACAAGGAGCACTTTAGCTACCCTTGATCCCTGAGCTCCTGTGGCATGAAGGTGGCACTCTATTGCACCTGAACCTGAGGCATTTGAAACTAGATGCTATTACATTCCCTAACCTTGACTGTGAATTTGATAGCATTTCTGATGCAGAATGTAGGGCTTCCAAGTCAAGTGGCCAGATTTTCCAAGGTACTCCTGCCTGACTTTAATATGACTTCCATGTGTAGTGTCTTTCAAGGAAATAATGGTGGTGGTTTCAGTTTCCCTACTTTGAAGTCCAGATGTAAATGCATCTGCTTCTTCATTGGTAGGGATCATCCCACCTTTCAAGGTCGGTACAGAGATCTGGTCACACTCTGATATTAGCATCAATGATAGATAAAGATGTATTATGTACTCCAATTCCTCGAAACAAAACATTGCTAATGCAAGCTCATCAGCAGTAAAAAATTTTCAAAGAGAAAGGAGCATTTTCATCTTGTACGTGTGTTCTGTTTGGAACAGAGAATTACAGCAGTTTCAAAGCAACCAAAGGGTAAGTTCAGCAGCTTCCAAAACATGATTGGTATCGGTACTACTCTCCAGCATGCAAGGGAGTGTGTCGATGTTCAGGTGACAGAAGTTACGGGTGCGGCTGCTGCAGATATCTGTAACATCAAACTTGCAACTGAGGGTAAGTTCTAAACTGATTGACATAGTTGTTGCCACTAATTTTGTCAATTTGGTTCGTGATTCTCTTAAATTTATCCATTTTCTTTCATAACAAATCATTTCTAATATTTTAAGCATAAAAAATTTTATCTGATCTTAGCATGGTGATTATTCAGACTCAGAGAATGGCCCTAATTAAGTTCTTATATGATTAAACCAAAGAGTTGAATGTGTCATAAAATCCACAAGTTTATTAGAAAGAAGAACTGGTAAATGCTTTTCTTTGATTGTTCTTCTTCCTAATGCTTCTATAATCACCCCTGGTTTTCAGTGTTCATCCAACTAAAACAGTACTCTTTTGTGAGTCACACTTGATTCAAGCTTTTATTAGCATTCGTAATTTACTTAACCTACCATATCGGTCTCTCTAATGGTGGGAGAAGCAAAAAGTTATGCATACTCGAGATTATGCATTATTATGGTGACAAGTTCTTTGGTTGCAGTACCTGCTCTGAAACACCACAAATGGATGGGACCAGCAATCACAATGTCACTACCAAGTTTTAGGTAAATTTGCTAATAATTTGTTTATTTTTCATGACTCCACTTGGAAACGGCTGGTTATTTCTATGATGTGAAACTGCAGTGGCCATACAGGGTATAATCCACAACTTTTGAAGTATTCTTGCCAGATTAAATGCAGGTATTTCAGTATTCTCTTTCTTCCCCCTTATCAATATTAGCCTGCACAGACAAGAAAATGTATAGATAAGGATATAAATTTTATTTTATTTTTATTTAAAAATACAAACTTTTTGAGCTTTTAAATTAGAAACTAAACTTTCATTTCAATTTTTTTTTAAAATAAGGATACAGACTTTATGGTTTTTCTATTTAAGGGTGTATTGAATGGGATGATGACATAGCAAACAACAATTTTAATTGAAATAGAGCAAAGTTTGTGTCTTTAAATAAAAAAATAGCAAAGTTCGTATTTTTAAATAGAAAAATGTGAAAATTTACATCATTATCAAGAAATTTAAAAAGTTTATATTTTTAAATAGAAAAAATTGCAGAGGATATTGCAAAGTTTATGTCCTTGACCCTTTTCTCCTGCACAAACCCAAACCCTTCCTTTCCTGGCAAAACATATGGTTGTTGATTAACATTAACATGTTTTAATTTCCTATAAGATGTTATATATATATATATATTTAAAACCTCTGCTTGTTTGAAGTGAGGCAAACATGTTTAGTTTCCTACAGGCGTAACCAACCAAACAGACAGCATCTGCCTAAATCAGCTTTCTATAGCTTTTCAGACAAAAATCTCCACCCATTTTTTGACTTTAACTTCTTGTCATACCTATGGCCATACTAAGACTCCATCTTTTTTTTTAAATTTTTTTAATTTTTTAACTTCGGAAGTGGAATTAGATATCTGTCTCTGTTTTGACCTATGGTTGAATAAGATGATTCAAAATCCCTTCTGAATCAATATAAGATGATTCAAAATCCCTTCTGAATCAATTTTTGGTAGGGTGAGACCAGTGGAGCCGGCAAAAGTTCTAGGTCCATTTCCAGCTCCAAAGAATGGTAGAGAACAATTGAGGAGACGCAATGGTCCTGAAACAACAGACTCAAATGAAGAAGCTTTTGATAAAGGAAGACATCTTGCTATATCAGTAATGCTATCAAAGCCTATACTAGCTTTGGAGTTTAATTGCTTGAACATGAGAGTTGAAGCCCCAGTTGTAGTTCCTCATCGCTGTAAGAACTCCTTAAGAGCATGTTGAGAGCATCCCATTTCTCTGTTGTTGTATTCTCTAAAATCCATGGAAGTTCTTTTCCAGTTTTCTTCAACAGAAGTTTTGCCAGTACAAACGCTCAACAAATGCTGGTCTGGACTTAAAATGGCAAAAATACCCTTTGTATCCCTGACTACAGGTGTATCAATGAAAGGGTAGTTTTGTCTATTTCCATCTGGACTGGCTTTATTTTTGCCCGTCCGAAATGAAAACAGCATCCTCTTGTTCAAAATGAAATATAGAAATCAATAAAAGCTCATTTAAAATGCTTTCATGCTCTGAGTCCTTGGATATGAAGTGGATTTTATCTGAAGAACAACAATGAAAATGCTGAAATCTCAAGAGAACACAAATCCTTTTTCTTTACTTGAGATCATTACAAAATTTTTCGTACATGCAGTAATAAAGCAAGGAACATAAGAACAACAAATGGAATTCTCATACACAAACATTTAACAAGCCTTCAACAGTAAAACTCTACTTACAATTCTCAATTGTGTCCCCATCAAACAAATAATTGGAGAAGATCAGAATGTTTCTGGAAGAGGCTGGCCCCCCAAGAATGCCTTGAACAGAACAAGTGATCTTTCAGGCTGTGAGAATGGAGCTTCATGTGATGCTCCTCTAATGGTGGCAAAGGATAAGATATTACCATAAACCTGAGTCCAGCCACCAACCTGAAGGGAAACAACAGAGATTAAATTACTTACCATGTAATAAATAACAGCAAACCAAGTTTAATTTCAATAATGCATGACTTACCTGCTGCCCTGCAAACCAGACTCTGTATGGGACAATGGTTTTTAATCCCAATTCCTTTGCCAATTGATCTACTAATGTTCGACTCCCAGTCAATGGGATGACAGAGTCTTGGTCTCCACTATATGCCAAAAACAAACTCTGGTCATTACCATAATGAATTAAACAAGAATCACATGCAGTAGATGTCCCCAGAAACTAGAGTGAAACTTTCAAGTTAGAAACATTTACCTGTAAACCAAGACAGGAATTCCTCCTTTGATGAGTTTGCCAACAATAGTGATGGTTGGTATCTCCACATCAAGAAGCTTATAATCAAGGATGCTGTTACTTGTGATTGGCACAGCACAAAGAAGATAAATTAGGTTTTGTTGAAAGGTGGACAATTAACCTAGAAGCTTTGAATGAATTCTAGTTGAAAGGTATGAACATTGATGGACAGGTACCCCCATTGCCTGACTGAATAGACATTAGAAATTCAAAGATATAAGCATAATACTATAGAATAAAATTTCACAAGAGAATTACTTGCTGCAAACAGCCCATCGGCGACCTCCTACAAGACGGGCATGGAGGGCCATCTGAACATCTTTCCTGTTTAGGTAATTAACTGTTTCATCTTCTACACATACATCAATAGTCTCGCCAACTTGCTGCAGTACAAAGAAATTGAATATCAATGGCTAAAGTGAATAACACATTTAAGTTGTGAAAATTAAAGAAATGATAGATTTTACTTGCCTGAGGAGCAAGAACTTTGGATTGTGAGAGCACAGATGATATACAGACATCAAGGGTAACATCATAATTGTCCACAAATCTACTTGTTTCTTTAGTGACTTGACTCATCACCCTTGAACAAATAGGAGAAACAGTTCCTCTGTAATACTCACTAACAAACCGAGAATAATTACAAGCACTAGTGAAAATCTTGTATGTAGTATCTGATATCAATCCATGAGACCAGAAGTACTCAGCCCTCGAATTAAAATCAGTAGCAAATTCTAATACTGGATTTCCCAACTGCAACAAAGAGGAAGATTTCAGATTTTCCCATAGCCATGAATTCAAAATTTTAATCCTGTTTTTGTCAATACTCACCGCAATTCCTTTCAAATTAAACAACTTCTCCTTCATGTTGAACTCAAGCATAAGTTCAGCTAGCTGGGGTACATAATGACCTGGTTTTAGACCCAAAATAACTATTAATAATCATATATGTTAAACATGTATGAATGAAAGAGGTGAAGTAATAAATTTGCAGCACCGGCGTAGCTTTCTCCTGTGATGAACAGACTTCTATTCCTGTAGTGTGGGAACTTGATGAACCAGTTTTCCAAGAACACCAGATTGTCCCTGGCTATGATAAGACAAAGACATAGCAAAAGTTTCAGAAATGAATGTAGGCCTGTAAAGGTGAACCGTTGTCAGCTCAGGAGGAAAACAACAAAATAAGGACAGTAAGCATTTGATCATGGCATAACTGTAAAGTGAAAAACAACATTTCCCCATATTTCCATCACAAGATGATGAAATAATATTCACGGAAAAGAGAGAAATAAGAAGAAAAGAAAGATAGGAAAAATGTTTAAAATTGAATATTCAGTGTAGAAATTATAATTCTTGGTAGATTAAGTATATACAGATGTTTACCAGTGATCTTGTCACTGACAGGATCATAAGAGGAGGAATCAGTGGAATAAGAGAAGCCAACTCCAATGGGCGTTTCCAAATACAGCATATTTGCTTCTGCATAAAAATGGGCATGCTAAAGATCAGAACTTTAGGTCAATCTGAATATACCCAGAAATGCAAGGACTAGAAATTACAGAAAATACCTCTATTCCAGCTATATTCATTATTAACGAGAAATGGACCACTGGGTCTAAATGGTCCATTCTCAGAAAATGCCCCAACTCCCAATGAAGAACACCCAGGTCCTGCAATTCCACCATGAAACATAGAGATCAATCCCCGTAGAAATCTCTCCGCAAATGAGTTTTAAGTGAAAAAAATGAATACCTCCGTTGAGCCAAAGAACAAGAGGCTTGGAGGCAGGATCAACTTCAGCTTCAGCAAAGTAGTAAAACAAAGATTTCTGCCTTTTGTCATCAACGGTCACATAACCGGAGTACTGTTGAAACACCACCGGGGGTTGGCCGGGTAAGAGAGCAATCCGATCAAGGAGAGCAGGGAAGGACTTAACTTGAATGCAAATGTGAAGTTGGAGCAGAATTACAGCAAAGGCCACTGTTCTCCATAGGAGAGAAATCATGGTGTTTTAGAAAGAGGTGGAAAGAACCCAGAGGAGTTGTTGGTTAGTGGTGGGAGAGGAGGGAAGGAGGGAGGTGGAAGTGGTGCAATTTATAAAAGGAAGAGTGCTTCTTTTTTCTTGTTATTATACTGTAAAGTTTGTTTTTGAACCTTTTGTCCTTTGAAATTTTTGGGGTTGAGGGTTTTCTTTTTCTCTTTCTGCTTTATACTGGCTACCGTTGTTTGCATTCGTCTTATATTCGATATTATTTTTAATTTGCGGAATTTTATCAAAATTTTAAAATTTTTTATATTGATTTTATTTATACTGATAATTCAACATTTTTTACAAGTTTTTTAATTCAAGTAATAATCTTCTTCAAATGAAAGTGCGGAGAAAAGGTTCACATTAAAATATGAATTTTGTAAATTTTTTATTTAAATATATAAATTTTTTAAGTTTTCAAATTAAAAAGTAAATTTTTACTTTTTTTTCATAGAAGAATATGAACTTTGTGCTATTTTAATTAAAATTATCATTTGTCATATTATCATTATCATTTAATAAATTCTTAAACAAAAAACTTAACAAAATTCATATTTTTAAATAAAAAATTAAAAATATATCACTTGATTTAGAAATTTAAAAATTTTATATCTTTCGATTAAAAAAATTGGCATAATTCATATAAATATCTGCTCTTTTTCTTAAAAAATGAGAGGTATAAGTTGTGAGTATAAAGGTGGGATAAATAAAAGGATGAGAAAAATTATTTTAATATAAATATATAAATATATTACATTACTTTTAATTATTGATAAAAAAACAAGCACTTTGATCTTCCCATTAATAAGTGCTCTCTTTAATGTCTTTATTAATAAGGTAATATTATTGCCACGCTCTTAATTGTTAATGTTATATTTTTTTTATTTTAATTGATCATTGTTTGGGGGTGTGCTGGTGATGTAAGATGGTGAGTCAATAGTGGCGATGTTGTGGGAGTTGACTAGGGTGACACTCGAAAAGATGAGGAGGGTCCTTGTGGTGGCACTCGGCTCATGTGCGAGAAGCTATATGCCATGGGCCATCTCGATTTGCCCAACGTTGTTGAATGACAGTAAGTTCTCCAACAAAGTTTGAAGGTGTAATCTACCTAGCCAAGCTGTGAGAAGGAGAGAGAAAGCTAGGTTGTGGTGGTAAAGTTCCAAGAATCAAGAATGATCACACAACTATTAAAAATGATGAAGAGTAGACATTCAACACTATAGAGCGTAGAGAATATATAAGAGTTAAGGATTACAACTTGAGAGGCACATCTACACGTAAAGTATTGCAACATAATAATAATGGCAATAGATGCACCCTCCATTATCCCTCTCAAACACTCTCACTCTATAATAAGAAATCCTCATTATGTAAATATGAAATACAACAATTTCTCCGTGAAGTTTTTGCAAAGACAAAAGGAATAAATTTGAAAGCAGTGGCGGGAGAAGGAAGGGTAACCGTTTGGGGGCTTGCAAAGGGATGTCCTAATTCCTTCTTTTGATGTTAACTAGTTGATTTGATCTCCTGATGCTCAAGAAAGATAATCAAAAGACTGAAACTATATTGTGCTGTCCTCTAGCCATACTGTTCCACCACAAACCTGGACAGTGTCCTACGATGCTGGGAATGCAGAATGTGTAAGTGAATGATGGTTTTAGGGATGCTAGGTGTGGTGAAAGATTGGAGGTGAAGAAGCTACTACGTGAAAGGAAGAGGTTTAGACGTGAGAAGGGGACTAGGCTCTCTTTTTGTATTTGATTTTTGTTGAAAAATAAAGGGAAAATACCATATATATGTATGTGCAGTGGTATTTTTGTAATTTATGGGTTGATGGGTCAAAACTGCTCAGTAGCCTAATGGGTAGATTTGGGTGAGTTGTCAAGCTTTAATTGGCTATGGACACTGCTAACAGCTCCTTGGCAATGACATTATGAATTACTCAGTGGTTTTGGTGGAGCTTTGTTGGTTCCAATGAAGGATTGGAAATTACCTCTTTTTGGAAATTTCTTCTGCCATATGAAATCCCACTTCTGGGCAAGTACTTGAGTGTAGCCGACGAAATGACACTTATAGAGGATTTTGGTGAAGTCCCCAGGGTCTACATAGGATTTTTGAAAGATTCTCCAAGCAATAGTAATCTTTTTATCAATTCCCAACATGATGTAACTTGTGCAGCCACCTTTGCATTAAATATGGCTGCAAGCTACTGATGGAGACTAAAATGGCATTTTTGGTTAATTCTTCATGGGGTTTCAAGCTCCGGGTTAGCATCATAAGATACTATTTTGGAAACCAGGCTCACTTCCTCATCTTTGCTACTCAGCCTTCTCTGGCGAAGTAGGGTAACATCGCTAATGCCAAGCCTTACTAATGTGGATGCCCTGCTTCGCCAGACGGGCAATGTTCACCCATCCATGCTTGCCAAGTCGCTACTCCCAAAGTTTATCCCGAATATTTACCATGAGCTTAGATTCATGGGTTCGTGCTTATCTGCAATGAAGGTAGAATATTGGTGAGCGTCTGTTCAAATATTTAAGTATAAAATATACAAATATGTGCAGCAAAGAAGGATGCTTTCTTGTGTATTAAAAGAGAGGGTGAGGATGAACATGGCTATGCTCTTTCGTCTTGTGACCATGGTAAACACTTATACGCTACTGTTATATACGTTTGGCATTGCATCAAGATAGGAAGCAAGCAATACTAATGTGTGTTGTGACATCGTTGTTCCTATCCAAGCATTACTGGTCGACGATGCCTACTAACACATGGAACATGGAAGAAATATGTTATGAGTTGGGATTACTGGCGACCGATAGTTTTGTCCCTTGATGTAAAATGTAATGAGGTACATGGTCACTGGTCATGTCTCACAAGTATCGTAGGATCATATATGAATAGCTTTCCAATTGTCATAGAGACAATAGTGGCTAGCTTTGTCCATTGTTGGAGTGTGAACTATGTGGAATCGGAAGAACATCCCTACCAATATACCAAGTCACGAAGAGGGTATATCTTGCTAAGTCAGACTCTGCCATAACGATGAATATGATATATATAAAGAGGGGTGGAGTTATGTCCATGGAAGGGGGACGCCAACTGCATCCATGGCCTTCGGTATGACAAGGTGTGATACTATTGACAAATGCTAGCCCTTCTTGTCATACCAACACCATTAGAGGGTGCTCCTGGTTGTTGTTTCCCGCCGAGCATTGTACCACCATGCACAGGTGACCACCAAAGGACCATCGGCCGCTACTCGATGGATTTTTATTGTTGGAGGATAGCCATCTTGTCCAATCGTAGGGTCGTAGGGTTGCAACTGTTACTAACTTCACGCTAATCGTACTAAGTTGCACTGACTCTTTGTCCCTTTTTAAGAGCCAGTGAGATAGAATATGTAGAGATCCGACCATTTATCCGTTGTTGGGAGTCGACGTAATGAAGATATGTAAAAATGTGCAGCCTTTTGCTCATTGTTGGAGGCTAAACGAGATAGCAAATCTAGCCATTTATGCATTGCTAGGAGCTGTGTAGATGTAATAGGATTAGCTTGTTGACCATCGATAGGAACCAATGATAGAGATATGGAGAAATAAATGCTTGACCCGTTGTCCATTGCTGGGAGCTATACAAATCAACTAGTTGTCCTTTGATGGGAGCCATGTAGCAAAATAGGTTCTTTATCCATTGCTGGGAACCACAAGATATAATAGTGGGAGCTGTGTAGATGTAATAGGATCGGCCTATTGACCATCGATGGGAACCAATGATAGAGATATGTAGAAATAGATGCTTGGCCTGTTGTTCATTACCAGAAGCTATACAGATTAATTCGTTGTCTTTTAATGAGGGCCATGTAGAAAAATAGGTTCGTTATCCATTGCTAGAAACCATAAGATATAATAGTGAATATTGCTGTGAAGGATATGACCGTAAGAAACATCCAGTCATGTTATGGAAATAAATCTAGTCATGTCTGGCCATGTATATAGAAATAGATGATGGAGCGTGCGACATTTTGCAGTGTTTCCAACAAAGTGGATAAATGCCTCTTTTGGTAGTGCCGACTCTGTTACAATAATCAGCGGAAAATAGCATGGTCAATATGGAAAATGGGTTACATGGTGTTGTACTTACTAGTATTCTTCCATGGCTTGATTACCTTCTGAAGCGGAAAAGGTTGAACCTCGATAGATTTATTTACCAAAACATTATCAAGAATTACCCTTTATTTTGTTAGTGAAGAGTGTGGAGGAAATTCTTGGTGAATGAAACCAAAGTAGAGGATTAGATTCTAAGTAGTTGGATCGAACCTCTATAAAATCATTATGCAAGTTTTTCTTTCATACTCTCTTTTTGATTTTTGTTTGGTGGTTGCAAAGATGTGAAAATTTTTCAACTCCAATTTACCCTTCTCTTGGAGTACATTGAGTCAACACGTGGGTCTTTGTTGATGTGGGACCACACGTGTCTCTAACTTTTGAGTATTATAAATTCATCTCTCAATAATTGTTATATCTTTTAATTTATTAAAAAAATAAAAAATATAAACCCTTTAAAAAAAGTATAATATAAGGATATAATAAATAATTATGTTAAAAAAATATAATATTAATTATTTAAAATATAACAATAATCCTCCAATCAATAAGTGCTTAGTTTTCCATAAAAATTAGAAGTTGAAAGTTCTAGATAAAAATCTTAAAAATGAGTGCCAAGATTTGTTAAAAATAAAAAGTCCTTAATTTAGAGTATCAAATAATTATCTACCAAAACGACTTCTTAGGGCGAATAAAATCATCAAGAAAGAATATCGACCTTAGCATATTCTCCATTTTCATTTTTTCCTTTAAATAAATAGTCTAGCTATCAAATCCTAAATTCCTAGTAGTTTCTCAATGACCTGGCCTAGGTGGGTCAATGGTTTATCGAACAGGAGAGACTGCATCTGAAAATGATAAGAGAGAATGTGTAGTTGTTTTTTCATTGAAGTGATGATGACAATTGCTTTACAGGTCCATGGCTTTTGTT